CTGTGCATGTAGAAATTTTTGAAATGGTGTATCTTTGGCTATGTGTATTTTCACCAAAAAAAAAAGGTTGAGAAGTTAGAGGGTTGACATGTTGTAGGGTTGTTAACCAACGTCATAAAACAATATGTGTACTACTGTTTCATGATAGACTATTTGTTCTGTAAGCCTTCACCTGAAGTACAATAAAAATAAATAAATAAAAGGAGCCAAGTGTCAGAACCCTATACACACAAACACACAAAGGCCCATCCGGGTTCGTTGGGCCTGCTCCTCTCGGAGGAGCCTGCCTCTGGTGGCTGTAATTACAATACAGGGGCCTCTTATAAGTAGGAAGGGTAAAGTGACCAGCAACGCCTGGAATAGCAGTAGGACGATAAATCTTGAGCAGTTCAGGACAAGGCTTTGGAAAAAATGTTCTAAAATATTCATACTTGATAATAGGAATGAACATGCAAATGCCTTTGGCCTGTCTTTTTTATTTCTATGCTGTTTAAATTTGTTATAAATAATATGTGCCATTTTATAACTACAAAGAAAAGGTAGTTCAAATGTTAGGGAAAAAAAATAGGAAGTATACCAAATTTAGAAATAAGTTTGAGCCAAAGTTTTCACATAGTCTAATTTCTGAATTTTACTTAAATCACTAGTGCAACAAGGGAACATTCTGGGTTGACAGAAATGTACTACATCTTGTTGCAAATATTTACACAGGTATATGCATTTCTCAATATTAGTCAAACTGTACACTTAAAGTCTGTGCATTTTATCATCTATAAATTATATCTCAACAAATATATAAGGTGTGTGTAAATTCACTAGGGTAAGTCAAGTTTGAACCCAAAAACTGTCAGGCAACGAATCCCAACAGATACTGGAAACCTCAACTTGTGCTGTTTTATTTTGTTTTGATTTTTGCACAGTTCTTAATGTCTCCAACCCTTAAATTTAGAGCAGGTTGGATCTCGTGGTAGATATACACAAGATCATATGTGTAAGGGAATTTAGATGAATTTATTCTTTCAAACTGTATATTTCTAAGCTGTCTCCTTACACAAGCCAGGCTTCTTCTGAATTTGGATCCAATAAAGCTTTTCCAGCTCTTTACCACTAGGATTCCTCCCTAGGAACTCTCAATCTACAAGGGACATCATACAGCACATTTCTTTTTATCCTTGTTATCCTTTGCCGTCAGAAGGACAGAGGACAGAGAAGGCAAGCTGAAAGCCACACCTATTTCCTCCTTGGCTTTCTGAGTACAGGATTCTGCCGGCTGTTTTGTAACCTGCTTTACTTTTACTTAACACTGTATCCTGAATATTGCAAAGCATAGATGTTCTAATTCCCTATCATTGAACTCCTAGGTTGTTTTTATATAACCAGGTGAGTGATGCTGGACCATTCACTTTACTTCTCTGGGCTTCTGTCCCCACAAGTAAAATGTGTGGGTGTGGCTATCCCTAGATGACCTGTAAGGCCCATGCTTTCACCTGGCCATACAGGCCCAGAAGGCGTATTCCTATTCAGGACTGTCCCCATCCCCACATCACACCTGTCCCAAGCCACCCACCACCACCTCCCCCCTCCCCCCGGGATCAGCTGTAGCTCATCTAACTCAGGTTACAGATTCGGTTTTCAAGCTCCTTTATGCTTTAATAATGGAATTAGAGATAAGAGACCACTGACTTTAAGCATAAACTATAAGGTCTTTTTGTTCTGGCTAAGCCTACTCCTTGAAGCTAGTTCTGCTTTTTATAATATTTCCTGTTGCTTCTGGAACATCTGACAGTCTAAGTGATGACAGAGGCTCACGCGGGCTCTGCCTTGTCCCCACTGCACACCTGTTGCCTGGCACCATGTGCGGACACCTGCCTCATAGCCAATTCCCCATTAGCAAGGGCTGCTTACCACACACAGTGTAGGTATGGAAAGTGGAAGGATGACAGCAGCTCGCAGAAGGCTCGGTCACTGATCCAGCAGAAGAGGGCAAGAGTCCACCAGAGGCCAGAGAAGAGGCCCAGCTTAAATACACGCACGTTGTCACACCTGCACGGGACACAGAGAGTGCCCACCATCAGCCCTGGTACCCACCTACCGCTGGCCATTTTCCTCTGTCTCCTTCACTGGTTCCTTCAGCTACCCAGACCCTAAGCACTGGAGGCCCCCAGGGCTCTTCTCCTCCCAACATACTCCCTCGGTCCTGTGGATTTAAACACCGTATACACACAGATGACTCACAAAGTCATACTTCCCACCCAGGCCTCTCCCCTGACTCCAGACTCATATACCCAACTACTTTCTTGACATGTCCCCCATATGTCTCACATGGATCTAAATTTAACATGGTGACACAGTGGTTAAGCACTGAGCTGCTGAGAGGTTGGAGGTTCGAACCCACCAGCCGCTCTGAACCTACCAGTTGCTCTGAACCTACCAGTTGCTCCGAACCAACCAGCCGCTCCTCAGGAAAAAGATGTAGCAGTCTGCTTTCATAAAGATTACAGCCTTGGAAACCCTATGGGGCAGTTCTACTGTGTCCTATAGGGTCACTACGATTCCAACTCGACAGCAGTGGGTGTAACAAACTCCTAATCTGTCCCCTTGCCCAAAGCCTGTGCTCCTCCCAGTGTTCCCCATCGCAGGAAAAGGCAATTCTATTCTTTCAGATGTTCAGGCTAAAATGCATAGAGTCGGTCTTCTCTTTCTCTCATGTACTAATCTCATCCAACAGCTCATCCTTCAAAATATGTCCAGAACCTGACCTCTTCTCACCACCTCCACCACCAACCACCTTGGTCCAAGCCACCATTAGCTCTTCCTGGATTATGGCAATAGCCTCCTAACTGGTCTTCCTCCTTCCAGCCTTGCCCATACAGTCAATTCTCAACACTCCTCAAAAGCTCCCTATAGCTTCCCCCTTTAACCAGACAAGAGCAAAAGTACTTACAGAGGCCACGAGGTTCCCCTCCCACCTCTTCTCCTTCATATTCTCCCTCTGCTCAGGCCACTGTGGGATCCTTGCTGTTCCTCAAATATTCCAGGCATGTTCCTACAGGACCTTAGTACTTGTTTCCTCTGCCTAGAACGTTCTTCCCACAGATATCCCCATGGCTCCCCTTCTTCAAGTGTTTGCTCAAATGTCACCCAGTAAGGCCTTTCCTGACCACTGTTTTTAACAACTGCAACACCTTCCAGCACCCCTCAAGTGACCCTCCTTATGTCCCCCTTCCCTCCTTGAATTTTCACTGAAGCAATTATAACCCCTCTGACACACTCTATGTTTTACTCATTTATTTGCTTATGTTCTGTCTCCCCCACTAACATGTACATTGTTCACTACTGTATCCCCAGCACCTGGAACAGTGCCGGACACATACAAGGCTCTCAACGTTTGTTGAATGAAGGAATGAGTCCTTACACACCAGGACATAACATTTTTCTAAAATAAATCCTAATGGCTCAAAGGAAATATCAATGGCAGTTTTCCTTCCTTATCACTGGGTTGCTCATAAAGTGGATTATTTCCATGCCAGGGTAGGGGGATGCCCAGAGGCAGTAGGGTGGCTGAGGGTCCTTCTCAACCTTTCCTTCACGGTTCCTTCCCTTCAGTGGACAGCTCCTCAGTCAGTCAAGATCTCTCATGAGACCCAGCATCTAATACAAGATCTGCAACCAAGAGGGAGCTTAAACAGATTTGTAGAACAAATAAACTAAGTATCCAAAGTCTGAATTCTTGATGCCTTTTTCAGCTGCCTGGCAGAAACATCAGCAAAAGCATCAATAAAGATGGGACCTTCATCCATTGCCGGTGGGAATGCAAAATGGTATAGCCACTGTGGAAAACAGTTTGACAGGTCCTCAAAAAGTTAAACATAGAACTACCATAAAAAAAAACCAAACCCACTGCTGTCAAGTCAATTTCGACTCGTAGTGACCCTATAGGACAGGGTAGAACTGCCCCACAGAGTTTCTAAGGAGCGCCTGGTGGATTTGAACTGCCGACCTTTTGGTTAGCAACCATAGCACTTAACCACTACGCCACCAGGGTTTCCAGAACTACCATACGACCCAGCAATTCTACTCCTATGTATTGTAGCATGTGGCAGAACTTCATTTCTTTTTATGGCTGTCCCCATTATGGGGGCAGTGGTGGTTCAGTGGTGACCCTGGGGTGGCACAAATGGTTAAGCATTCAGCTACTGAAAGGTTGGTGGTTACAATACACTCAGAGGCACCAGGAAGAAAGACCTGGCAATCTACTTTCAAAAAATCACAGCCATTGAAAATCCTATGGTACACAGCTCTACTCTGAAACACATGGGTTGCCATAAGTCAGAATCAACTCAAATGCAACTGGTTTGATTTTTTCTTTTTGGTGATTCAGTGGCAGAATTCTCAACTACCATACAGGAGATTCTTTACCAATGCACCTCATGCGCAGTCACCACCTGTCTATCAGTGGAGGCTTACAGGTTTCAGCGAAGCTTCCAGACTAAGATGGACTAGGAAGAAAGGCCTGGCAATCTACTTTCAAAATCAGTCAATGAAAACCCTATGGATCTTAACAATCCAATCCTCTTGAGGTTGCCATTAATTGGAGGCCAACTCTATGGCTAACAACATCATGGTTCTCAAACGGGTTAGAATCAGACAGAATCACCTGAGCAGATTTTTGAGTTTCTGTTTTGTTTTATTACTTTATTGAGGTATTTCACATGCCACAACACTCACCCATTTAAAATGTACAGTTCGGTACATTTTACGTTTAGTATACCCACAGAGTTGTAAAACCATCACCGCAACCTAATTTCATCACATTTTCAACATTCTGAAACAAAACCCCATGCCCACTAGCAGTCATTCCCCTTTCCCACTATCTCCTCACGTTCCTACTCTCACTTGCTGCACCCCAGCCCCAGGCAACTGGGTTCTGTAAGTTTCTAAAACTGCAGATGCCCAGGCCCCCATCCTAGACCTCCAGAAAGTTTCTGCAGATGCAGAGCTAAACCTCTGTACTTGCAAATAGCTTCCTAAGTGATTCTGACATATCCCCCATTAAGATCATGCTACTGACATGGTAAAAACTCAATGAAGAATTGGTGAGTAAGTGAGTGAGCGAGGGAGTGAACAGTCAGATTCAGGGTTGCTGAGAACTTTTCTGGCTCTAACAAGCAATATGAGCGATAAAACAGAAAGTTGAGATTTTTAATTCAGGCCATTAGAGAGTAGAAACTGTACCCTTTATTATGTATTCAATTACTTGTTTTTCTTCTGGAAAGGACTCTGGGCCATAGTTAGTCTTCTAGCACTGACATCAGCCTGTGTCTGAAATGGTCTCTTTCTTCCCCTGTCCTCAAAGGCTGCTCAATGAAGTCAACTAGAAAAGAGCTGACAGTAGCCTGCTCTCAACCAGCAAGTGCAAATACCTCTTCCACCAGCCAGCGCAGGCCTTTGGCCCTGCCTGTCATTGCTGACAAGCAAAGCAACTCCCAAAGGCAAAGAATTCGAAAGAAATGTTTATCTCCTCTCAAAACAGAGCGAAATCTGAGTAAACACATTACACAGGACAACTATCACACAAAGGAAGATAGACGCAAGGCCTCAGTTAAGGCGGGCTCCATGTCAATAACAGTGAGAAAGTCAAGGACTTGCAATGCACCTCTAAAAGTGAGTGCAAAGAAAGAGATGTGTTTTCAAAGAGAAAATGAGAACAGTTGTTCAGTGTTTCTTGGTTTGGCGAGAGGAAGACAGTAGCGTATCCAAGAGTATTAAAATAAAACGTTTCTGGATTTCAACCTGAACTCTAAGTATACAACTCTCCAAAGGAAAATGCTTATGCAATTCACCTTTCAGCCAAAGATTAGGCAAGCCTATATAACAAACATTAACACACGTGAGGAACATGCTTCTTAGATCAATCAAGTATATGAGACCAAATGGGCAACACCTGCCTAAAAGCCAAGCCAAGAAAGCAGGAAGGGACAGGAAAACTGGACGAATAGGAACAGAAACCCAGGGTGGGAAAGCGGAGAGTGCTGACATATTGCAGGGATTGCAATCGTGTCATGAAACAATTTGTGCACAAATTTTTGAATGAGAAACTAATTTGCTCTGTAAACTTTCACCTAAAACACAATAAAATAAATGCTTATGCAAATAGCAAAGGCCTTACCTGATAGATTATAAACGAGAAATGAAGCCTCAGAGAACGTGTCTATAATAGTCAAAAGTATTCCACTTGAAGTTAAGGTTTCCTTGTGTATAGAAATTCATTTCCCCCGCCCCCTTCCTCTTTTTCCTTCTATGCGTGTGAATGCCATAACCTCTCTAAAGCCTGTTGCTTTCAAGTCCATTCCAATTCATGACGAGCCTAAGTATGTCTGAGTAGAACTGTGATCCATAGGGTTTTCAATGGCTGTGATTTTTTGGAAGCAGACCACCAGAACTTTCTGTTGAGGCACCTCTGGGTAAACTCAAACCTCCTCAGTTAGCAGCCAAGTACATTAACTATTTACGGTATCCAGGGACTCCATAACCTCCTTAAGACTTTTCTTTCTCCTTGTCATATGAATGAATCTATTCTCCTTTCTACAGAATTAAGTCTGGGCAGCTTTGCTTAGGTGCTCAGCAGGTTCTTGAGATGTTCCTGCTGAGCTAGCTCTAGATCACTGGGACGCCCTGCATCCACTGATCGTTAGCTGCTCCCCTTTCTGAAAATAAGATTATTAATATTTTGAACCAAAGCCTCAAACCTGCTTTCAATCCACCAGTAGGAACTAACTTTTTATGAGGTGTAAAATTTCTCTCCCACACTCAGAGGAACCGGCAACTGGGGTGTTCCTATCCGAAGGACGGTATAAGGTGCAGACAGCAAGAACGGCACCCACCTCTTTAGCTCTGCAATGAGCAGCGCAGTGCAAGGAAACCCTAGTGTCATCAGAGAGATGTTGTTGATGGCGGGCTTGACAAATGCCAGGCATGTTGTAACCGCAGACAGGACACAGACCACCGCTTTGAACCTGCCCCTGAATCAGTGGAAGCAAAACCAAATCAGTTAGCAAAGGAGTGTTTGTTCGTTTGTTTAATGTTAGAAGGTGTAGGCACTTCTGGTGGAAGGGCAACTGAAAAGAAACTCTGTACTAAGTACCAAGAGTCTAAAAAACATTCATACTCACCGGCTCCGTAATTCCACTTTTAGGAATTTATCCTTAGGAAATAATTCGAGATTTGCAAAAATATCTAGCCACAAATGGTCACCTAAGCACTACTTGCAAGTGTAAAATTTGAATCAACCTAAGTCCTTGAGCGTGAGATGTGGATAAATTTATTCTTAGGGTTACTTTTCTTTATTTTTCTGATGTACTACAGCAAGGGTTGGCAAATTATTTCTGTAAATATTTTTGGATTTGCAGATCATACCATATCTGCCACAGCTACTTAACTTGCCTTGTAACCACAGACAATAAGGAGATGAACAGGCATGGCTGTATGCCAATAAAACTTTATTTACAAAAACAGGTGATATGCCCCTATCAGGACCACGCAATGCAGTTTGACAACCCATGTTACTGGGTGAACATATATGACTTTTATAACAAAAAGACAAGCCACTAAAAACCACAAACCATTCTAGTTTAACAACAACAAAAAAAAAAAAGTCCTATGTGTCTCACATACGAAACTGAAAGTCCTAAGAAAAAAATTCTATTAGTGTCTACGCTTACTGACAACCCACAAGTTCAGTATGTACTAGAATTAGTTTTGACAAGTTTTTGACATAACAAATCTTAGAAAAATAATTGACACTATCCTCACAGCCTTCAGGGGAGGTGGTTTGGTAGAAAGAGCCAGAAATGGAGACGTGATCCTGGACACACTCCTTCTCCCCCTGGGACTCCATTTCCTTACCTATAAAACAAAAAGGCTGGGCAAGATGATCTTTGAAGCCTCATCCATGACTTAAAATTTAGGAGCACATGATTTTCCTAAAGTTTCTGTTATTCCTCATTAGCACAATTTACTTTGGCCAAGAATCCCGAACAAGTCACAGGAAACTAATTTCAATGAAATTCCATTATAAGAAATCAAAGTGCATTGACCCTTCAAAATACAAATTTATCTCTTGAATAGGAAAACCATTTATCATCAAGGGACAGGAAGTCATTGATCAAGCTGCCAACTTTCTGACTGGCGTGAACAGGAACTGTAGCCCTGAACCTCAACCAGAGGAAAAAATATGCATATGGGAAAGGATCCGGGCAGCAAAGCCTCAGGAGAATTGTGTTTTTCTCCCGGCCCTGGCTGGCATCCTTCAGCTCCTGGATAAAAGACCGACAGCTCACAACTCCACCACCCTCGTCACGGGCACGGCCGCTGGGGGACCCACAGTCACTCTGGCAGTGGGTTTAAGGTTATGTGACTCATGCTGAGGCCGTTTGGCCTTTTTTAGACTGGATAAAAACATCATCAGAAACTTCCAGGCTGCATCACCTCCTTCTATCCAATGGTTTCGGATTCAGGCACAGATTAGAGAGGGCAGCAGAGTGATTAAAAAGCACAGGTGCTCGAGTTTAGACTGATAATGTATTCAAATCCTACCTTCACCACTTAGCACCTGTGGGACTTTTAGCAGATAATTTAACATTCTAAGGCTCAGGTTTCCCATCTGAAAATTAAGGCGTCTTGCCTCACAGTGTTCTTGTAAGCATTCAATTACTTAATACAGTGCCTGGCACAGGTTAACCAAAAAACCAAGCCAGTTGCTGTTGAGTCGATTCCGACTTATGGTGCTTCCCTGTGTTTCAGAGTAGAACTGTGCTCCACAGGGTTTTCAGTGGCTGTTGTCTTTCAGAAGTAGATCACCAGAACTTTCTTCCAAGGCGCCTCTCAGTGGATTTGATAACACCAGGCTTTTGGTTCATAGCTGAGCACTTAACCATTGCGCCACCCAGGGACTCCTCTGGCACAGGTCATTTGCTAAGAAAATTCATTATCACTGCTATCATTACTATCATTTTGAGAATAAATGTTACTTTAAATAACATTATTATTATTGGTGTAGTCCCTGGGTGGCGCAAACGGTTAGGTGCTTGACTAATAGCTGAAAGGTTGGCGGTTCAAACCCACCTAGAGGCGCCTTGGAAGACAGGCCTGGTGATCTGCAACCAAAAGGTTACAGCTTTGAAAACCCTACGGAGAGTCAAAACCAACTCTCCGGCAACTAATAACAACAACATTATTATTATTGGTAATAATAACACTCTCTCAGGGAGCATCTGCCTGAGCTTGCTGCAACCATCAAAGCTCTGTATAGTACTGCCAAATAGTTCAAAGACAGCAAGCTTGATGAAACATACTTTCTTTAAGGAGTCCATCTGCAGCCACCTCCCCCAGATCAGGTCCAGAGGGTGTGGAGGAATGTGCTTGGGGCAGGCAGCTTAGCCAGCAAGGACGTGCTGCAAACGCACAATTCTGCAACCAGCGGAAGTAAACAGAGGTCACGTGGCCAGCAGAAAGCTGGCCAGCCCAGAGTCACCAGAGGCCCTTGGTTCAAGGGAAAGCAAGAAACATCCAGGAGCAAGTGGCCCGACAGATGTTTTCTAAGCAATGACAAAGACAGGTAACCCTACTGGTCCTGTTTGCAACTTTCCAGCACGTACTGGAACACAAGATCAGGGGACCCTTAACACCCCTTCTTCTTGTGTTCTCCAAACCAAAATCTAGCAACCCAATACCATCGTCATAATATTATTCTAATACAGTTGACACGGAAGCCCTGGTGATGTAGTGGTTAAGAGCTATGGCTGCTAACCAAAAGGTCGGCAATTCAAGTCCATCAGGTGCTCCTTGGAAACCCTGTGGGGCAATTCTACTCTGTCCTATAGGGTCACTATGAGTCGGAATCGACTCGATGGCAGCGGGTTTGGTTTTTTTTTTTTGGTACAGCTGAGACTGTCATTATCATTAACTACCCTTTAAAACAATGGTTTTTGACCATCTCAGACCCTTTTCCCCTTTTTATAGTAATTATTTGGTAATGCCCCCTTTACACTCCTGAAATGAAATGGAATTTAGGGATGATAAAACTTTCCATCATCGTGACCCCTAAAAATATGTCCATGAATTTCCCAGATGTCCCTTAAGGGCTGGAAATGTCCCTGGTTAAAATCCACTACTTTAAATGGCCCTTTGGGACTAAAACATAACCTATTTAGAAAAACCAACCCCTGATATTCATAATACTCCAGCATTTGGTCCTAGAAAGTACCTCAGAGAGCTAGTCCAACCATGTCATTTTATAGTAAGGAATTAAGGCCCAGAGAACCTATGACTCTGGCCCCATGTCACCCAACAAGCCCATGTGAGAGCGAGACTGGCAGACCTCAACCTGCTCCCTTGGAGTCAGGGTGCAGGCTCCAGTCAACACTTGTTACGGACTGAAATGTGTCCCAAAAAATGTGTTATAAATCCTAACTCCTGTAGTGGTTATGGGGCCCTGGTGGCGCAGTGGTTAAGAGCTACGGCTGCTAACCAAAAGGTCAGCAGTTCGAATCCACCAGCTGCTCCTTGGAAAGTCCTATGGGGCAGTTCTACTCTGTCCTATAGGGTCACTATGAGTCAGAATCAACTCGATGGCAATGGGTTTGTTTTGTTTTGTTTTTTTTTAAGTAGAGTTGAAGTCCTTATTTACAGTGGCCTACTTTTCCCATAATATGTTCCTTTTTTTTTTCTTTGCTCATTAAAATTTTCAATGCCTATTCTCTCCTTCAATTCATACGCGTTTCTCAGAAGTGCTAGGCAATAATCTCCTCTAGGCATCATTGGTGGTAATGAAAGTTAACCTGAACTGAACACCTGAATTTGCTTAACACTGAGGGCAAAGTGGTCACATTTCCCCCCTACCCCCCAGAAATGCTGCAGGGTGCTGGAGATGGAATAGTCCCAAATGGTCACAGACATCTACACCTCACAACACGTTTCCATTATTAAAGCTGGTAAGCTTTAATCACTACAGCCCTTGCCTTATTTTCTCCTCTCCTGCTCATAACAACATTCCCCAACTGCCACCTCCAAGAAATAAGAAAAGAAAAAGTTTCTCTACAATGAACAGATTAAAAACTGTCACTTGGAATTTCAGCCCAGGTCTCCAAAGCACCACAAGCAATAAATGAAACCCTTATTCCCATTTCTTCAATTCTTACTCAGATCCCAGGACTTGAAAGGTCAGATCTCATCTCTCGACCTAGCACACACCAGGCTCAGGGACAGGAAGGGGTGACTGGTGGGCACCTCGTGAGACAAGAGGAAAGACAAAAGGCAAGTGGCTTGTTTGTCCAGCAGTCCAAAGGCCCTGCCAGTAAAACCACCCCAACCCTGCTCATGGCCTCCACCTCCAGCCCCCACCCTTTCCCCAGCCACCAAGGCTCTCTGAACATCCCAGCTGTTCTACTGAAGCTGAACCAGAACACAAAGCAACAAGACAAGACTGGAAGCTGGCGACAGCCTAAACCAGCCTGGCCACATTTTAAAGCATACTTCCTCCACTGAGTAGAAGGCCTCAGCAAGATAGAGAACCATGTATCTCATCTAAGTTCAGGAACGCCCTTTTCTCCACTTCTGTTTGTAAACAGTAAGCTTGTTCTTGCCTGTGTGTGCACATTCACAAGTGTGCTCTCTCTCTGTCTCTCTCTCTCTCTTTTGGATTGGTAACCTTCTTGAGGTCTTATCTGCTAGATTACACTCAAAGATAATACTATTTCATTCAAATCTTACTTCCCAGAATGAAGATTGTACAACTAATCAATTTAAAGTATGCTTTGTCCTTGCTCATTTAAAAATAATTATTAAAAATTAATAGGAGCTAATTGTAAAAAATTCCCAACAGACTAAAGGTAAGAGTGGAAGTTCTCTCTCCACTCCAATTCCCCAGAGTAGCCAATGGCAAGAGTTTGGTGTTCTCCTACTCCCAGGAATTTTTGTGCATATACAAAAGTACATATTTAAAAAGAGTTTAGTTCATTCATTCTAGAAATAGAAGATTACACATCCAGCTCTACAATGTGCTTTTTGCAGGCAGTATTTTTCATGGACACTCCTCTTCCTCAGTACAGAGAGATTACTTTGCTCTTTAACAGCTGCATAGCTTCTACTCCTTCTCAGAGTACCAGGGAAACTGCAACATCTTCTTTTACTTTCTTGGTATAACTTCTCCCTGGGTGCACACAGCTTACTTAATTGAATCCATATTCTTAGATTATTTATTCAAATATACTTTTTCACAGAACACAGTGTCCTGAAGAGAAATATAAAGGTAATATGTTCTGGGAATGCTTCTCATCTTGATTAGGCTGGTTTTCCTCTGTTCCCTTAGATATTACTAGCAAACCTCACTATACTTTTGTTTTAGGCAAGAAAATCCCAAGCAAGGAAAAAAAAGAAACCAGCAATCAGTCACTGAGTCAATTCCGACTCACGGCATCTTTATGTGTTTCAGAGTGGAATTGTGTACCACAGGGTCTTCAGTGGCTGTGGTCTTTTGGAAGTACCTAGATTGCCAGGCCACAGCAATAAAAAGATAATGGCCACCCTATACTTACTACATGCCAAACTGGATACTCGCACACCACCACCACTACACACACACACTCATATACACTCCTGCCTAATGCTCCCTCATTCTTCTTCTCATTAAGACAACACAATTTACCCAATTGCTGAGACCAAACATTGTGAAGTTACCCTTTATGCTTCTCTTTTTCTCACACTCCTTTTCTAGTCCATCAGTAAATCCTATTGATAACACCTTCAAAATTATCCCAAAGTCAACCCCCTTCACTGCTATCACCCTTATCTAAGCATCATCACCTCTTGCTGGGACAATTACTATGATTTAATAACTGGTCTTCCTGTCTCCACTCTTGTCAATTACAGTTCATTAACTATGGTGATCATAGTACTAATCAGATCATATCACCCAGTGCCAAAACTCAGCAAAGGATCCCATAACATTGAGAATAAACTCCAACATCCTTACCTTGGCCTACAGAGCCCCATGTGGTGGCCCCCGCCTGCCTCTCCTTCCTTCTCTCTCAGAACTCTCCCAGTGCTCACTTGTTTTAGCCACACAGGTGTCCTTGCTATGCCTCAAACATACCCAACACACTTCCATCTCAGGGCCTTTGCACTTGCTGTTCCCTCTGCTTGGATTGCTCTTCGTCAAAATATTACTAGGACTCATTCCCTCACTTCATTCAGGCCTCTGTTCAAATCAGCTCCTCAGAAAGGTTTTCCCTGACCAAACTCTTGAATTCAACATCTCAAATCATCACGATCCCCTTACCTGCTTCATTTTTTTTGTTTTATCATAGCGCTTATCACTCCCTAACATTTTATTATTTATTTGTTTGTTTGTTGAAATGTAATCTCCCTGACTTCAGCATAAGCTCACTGGAGGCAGGGACTCTGTTCTTTCGTTTATCTCAGTGCTCAGAATAATGCATACCAAACATACGAACGACCATGAAGACAGTGCAGGATCAAGCCACTTTTTGTTGTTATACATATGGTTGCCATGAGTCGGAGCCAACTGAAAGGCAACTAGCAACAGATAACTGCATAGTAAACAGTATGTGTTCAAAATACTTTTACTGGATGAATTAATAACCATATAACCATAGCACAATGGACATTAAAATGTGCCCCTTCCTGAAATTATGGGTTCCCAGCTTGGAGTTACGTGTGTGTGTGTGTGTGTGTGTGTGTGTGTGTGTG